AGTGCCAGCTCAATTCAGTTTGTGTCACTTTGTAGTATCAATCGGCTTCGCCTTGTGATTTATCCTTCCGTCACCACATCCAATTTTGTCCAATCATGCAACTGTATTTTGAGCCGCGCCACCTTAATTCAAATCTCGTCACATTCGAGCAGCCATTGGCGTCGCCTTTTGGGTTTTCCCTCTCGGCACATTCAAATTTTTCATTGTTTTGGGTAATGCATAGGAACCGAATGTATGAATGCTCGTGCAGAAGGGGAGCTTTGCCAGGCCAAAGAATTGACCGCATTCAATGTCGGAATCACAAAGCACACAGTGTGGAGGGCCAGACGGACCATCAAATGTATAAAGAGGCCCGTGTGTTGTATTTTTTTCTCTGTGACGCCTCACAACATTCAAAGTGAAAATGCATAGATGAGTGTAGACGACGGGGGAGGTTCGAGAGAGAGGCAGAAAAGCATAGAGTTAGTTCGAGTCCGGATGCATCCGAGTATGCGGGCAGAACATCACACCACACAAGGCACAAAATGACGAAAGCGAGATATTCAATCACGAAACAGGCACCCCAACAACGGGGACGTTCGTGATAATTGAAATCCAATATGAAAGAACAATATTGTCGACGACAAACACGCCGGGGACATGACAAGCTCACCCGGAGATATCCTGGCAGTGACAGCCAGTTCTGCTCTGAAACAAACTGAGAACACCCACCAGTCCCTCACGAAAAAAATGAAAAGGAACAAATTTTGTCCGGAGAAGAACGAAATGTTCTTCTACGTCAACCCTTCTACACTACATGATCAACAAAGAGATAGACACTTACCTACCAACATCGCAAATCGCCAAAGCTAGTCTAGCTCTAATAGAGGAGATGTGTCTATGGGAGAAACCAAAAGGTGGACGTAAACCTCTCGCCAAACAGGAAGCGAACATCAACGTGAACACCCCACAACTAGCCCCGCCGTGCTACCGAGGGACACCTTTCACGCTGACCTCGCGAGCGAAGTGGTCGAAAGTGCGACCATCACCGGCGRCACCTGCCACCGTGTTAAAAAATTTAAAAGTTTTATCCAGAAGTGSGGAGTAGAAGGAATCTTTGGATGACGAACACGAGAAAGAATCATAGATTTCCAAAACACGTCTAGAGAAGTCAATGGCCAAAAGGCTCCAGTGTTCACCGTCCTTGTGCACTGGTGCCAAGACGAGGTCATGAGACAGGAGGTCGACATCTTTAGCCCATCTGAGAACAGTTGCCTGACCTCGCAGAAGCAGTGAAGAGGCGAAGAAGGAGTTAAAGGTGTATGTCTTCATGGTAGCGGCAGTTCGGCCGCAGTCGTCCGGTAGCATCGCCATGTAGAAATTGACAACCTCATCGTTGAGCTCCCCGAATCTATCCACGAGTGCGACGATGTCCTTGACGGATACCTATAAACTGTGCGACGGCAAACGCGCGACGATGATAGTGAGCGGCAACCGGGAGCAGATAACGTCTTTAAGGACCGCTCTTCCATCTCGAGGAAACCCTGTTCAACAAACACCCGCAGCACACAGCAAGCACAAAGGACGGGGCACTATGAGAAGATGTTGTCCTAGCGGCCATGGTCCGAGGAACCGCTACTCTGTGGTCCGAAAAGTTCACGCATAACGTCACCTCTACTTCTCGACTTTCTACACACAGTTGATTCTAAACTAGCACTATCCTTTATATCCCTGCAAGCCTCAAGAAGGAATTCCTTGCAGTTTTTTTCGGCAACACCCGCTGCCTTTGCAACGAGTCTTGCGCGGGAGCCCAATACGGGCACGACTACCCTTCTGGAAGGGCCTCGAGGCTTAGTGTCCCCAGGAAACGCATCAGTGACATTGTGACGACCAGTGCCTCCCGCAACCAGGACTTACAATCTGGCGAGGGCAGGCGGCTCCTGCGACATGGGTGTTTGTCCACGAGTTCGTCGACCTGTACAACAAATAGCCACCAGAGAGTTCATAAGGAGATCAACAACACAAGTTCGCAAGAGCAACCAAGCAAACAGCACCTCATGAAGCACATCGTCACCATCCAGTTGGCGGCCGCCTATACACCTCCCCGAAATCGACGAAGCAAACAACACTTCACGAACGGGCTGACGAGCGGGAAGAAAGCAGAGAAAGTCAGTGCTTACCAGGCCTAGCTACCACTTCACCAGAGCCCACCGACGGCAGTCCCAGCACGATTGGCACCCCTGCGTGCGTCGACGCGGCGACGACGTGCTCCAAACCCACAGGTAAACTTGACAGGCTCGAGATGTCGGCGTCGATGACCGTAGACGGTACATTCGTCTCCGGACAAAGAGCGTCGACGTTCACAACATCGACAGGTTGTGTTTTCTCCATTGCCACTGTGTTGTATTGTGTTGGGCTCAATGTCCCATGGATGTCCAACAACACCTCTCCCCCCCTTAACTTCTTGTCCCCGTACGTTGTGTCTTTGTCGTCGTCACTCAAATAGATAAATCTATCTCCAACAGTGTCAGAGACCTTCTTCAGAACGTCCTCCCCCATCGCCTCGTTGTGAAGGGCGGAGTACAAGGGATCATCGTATCCCGGCTGAACTCGTAGCTTCATCCCTACGTCGCTGAGTGTCGGATCAATCCGGTCGTCGGCGGAATCGTCCTTGTCCAAAGTCGTCAGTAGTCGACAACCCTCAACGCTTGCCAGTTAAAGTCCTTCGTCCGTGTGCCTCGGATGAATCCGAATCACGGTCGTCTCCAAAGATGCATCAGGGAGGGACATGTTCACAGGGCCCTGGTTCGGATTCATCCGAGCCCCCACAGTTTCCAATGACGCCGACATGACCGCTTTCTCCGGGGAGTCACTTACGACTGCTAACTCGGCTCCGAGTGTGTTGGGCTCGACATTGGAACTGGTCGCCAACTCACCCTCAGTCGGACAGTCCGCCTGCAGCTCCTTGTGGGCTTCCACGCACAGCATTACTGCATCCTGACACCGATCGTCTGTCATGGCAGACACGACTTCCTGGTTCGGATGAATCCGAATTTCGTCGCCACGGTTTTCGGAAACACGGACCACCCGTTCGAGTTCTATAGACAACTGTGCTCCCTCGATGGCACGGCCTTCCCGGTTCGGATTGATTCAAACTTCTTTTTGAGGCGAAACGGAACACGGTTCCAGCTTGTCGTTGTCGGACCCGTGGTATGTTGTCGTCTCGCTTCCCGGAAGGCAATGAGTTCCGGACAACGACGTCGTCTCCGAGGTTCGGATTGATCCGAGACAATCCGCCAACCGTTTTTGGAGCTGAGCGAAGCATGTTCCATGCTTTGCGACAGCTGCCCTGCCAACCGCATCGACAAACTGTGTTTCGCTGGTGGAGCTAATCACAGGGTCCTGCTCGCCAGGCCGCGTAATACACCCAGGCCTTAAGTCGTTGCTCGTCTCCATTGAGGTGCTGCCTGTTACCGCCAGAACCCCACCGTCCTCGTCGCGGTCGACATCGGACCCCTACCCGTCTCCTCTGTGATGCTTCGTCTTCTCTCCGCTGCGAGGCTTTTTCTTCTCCCGGCTGCCCTTCTTCCCCTCTCTGCCGCCTGCGTGCCCCGGAGACCGTTGTTTCGTCGAACGCTGTTCACTTCCACCTCCGGTACCTCGTTGCCTGCCGCCTTCACCATCCCTGACCTCAGGCAACTCCCAACTCACTTGCTTAATTGACGGGCTTGACGGAAGGGCGTAGAACGTGGAGGACACTTCCAGCCATTTATTTGACTGCAATAACTTGAACAGCGTGTCCTCGTATTCGCAAGGGCAGGGTCGTCCTTACTTCGTCGATTGACCTCACTTAATCTCTCCAATACCGCATCGTAGGCGCGAGATTCGAATGTCTCGAGGTCCCAACGATCGTCATATATCCACCCTCCACTTACGTCCCTCACAGCCACTGCCCATTCGTCGTCGAGAAGGATTGGCTGGAAATGGTCTGGGTGCCACACGATATTATGGCCCCAATCTTCGGCAGTGGAGAAGGTGTGTTTGTCGCCCATGTGGAAAGGAGTCGCACGAGCCTTGAGATGCGGATGGTCCGGAGGAACTGGATGGCCGGGGCGAAGACGTTCGGGCTGCGGCGTGAGACGAATAGGCTCCCCCGGTGAACTCCTCAGACGGGACAACCCACCCCTCTAAACAGGCGCTGAGGAGGACACGGGCGTGGGACCGCCCGAGGTAGGTGTAGCGAGAGGTGTCCCCGATTTGCATACCGATGGCGACTCAGAAACTTGGGCGTTGAAGATGGCCAATTGCCCGTCCAAATCAAAGAGGTCGTCCTCAACGCTCTCCTCCTGCTCAATCTCGATATTGAAGTCGTCCTCCTCACCGAATGCCAGCTTGTACTTATCCAAAGTGAAGTCGGCCGGATCGACAACATCCTCGTAAAAAAAGACATATTCCAGCCTCTTAATGAAGCTCACAGCGCCGGCCCGACTCGCTCCGTGGTAGCCCTGGAGGACCGCAATGGCGACTTCCTTCCGCACCACGTACTGTGGGTCAAATCTCAACCTTGGTTGTTCACCGTAAAGGAAGGAGTAGACCCGGCGCCTTTTCTTCGGAGTCAACTTTAAGAACATGTCCTTGTTCGGGTCATAAACGGGCTCGACCACGACATGGTGAAAATCGCATGGGTAAGCCTTGGACAACACTTCATGGGTGACATACTGCACGGTGTATTCGAGCTGCGTTGTGTCCCCATCCACGGCCAAGACGTGCCTTCCCTGCTGAAGCAGACTCCACACCACCTGCATGTGCGGCTTGCCCAGGAACTGCACGGCATCCGCCACACCACAAAATAAAAGAAGTTGATTGCGTAACTGATTCAGATTCCGCTCGCCGTCCTTGTACAGAGCCCACCTCTGGGTCAGGTTTCGGATGTCCGCGAAAGTCAAGGACTTGAAAGACTTCTCCTCCACATCCGTGGGTGTCACTTTCTGTTTCCTCCGGAGAGCGGCGGCGGCGTTTTCAGCAACAGCTCCCTCGTACACCGGGTGAGTCAGTAGCCGAGCATCCTCGCCTTTGAAAAGGATGTGCATCACATCCGGGTCCTCCCAGACGCTGTTTCCGAACTGATGCGTCTTCTTCGATGCCATCTTCCGAACCCACTTCCCCGTGTAGCATCGGGTAGCCCCAAGCGCAGACAAACATGTCATGAAGGAGAGGTTCCACAGGCAGGGGACGAATACCACCAATGTCCAGTAGTCCTCACAAACAAAGCCCAGCAACGTACTCAGAGACGCGAATGCCCTTGAGTCCCATTGCGCACGGTCCATAGTACCGCATAAGTCGAGCACGCAAGTGTGGCAGCGTAGCTGATGCCCTAGTTTTCCCAGCACCTCCTTATGATCTCTGGCACTCAATGGGTCGACGTTAAACTGGGCTAGCGTCGTCAAGGCGCTTGTTCTTGTCCACATAATGTTGATGCAATCATCAACGCCCCGAGGGCTTTTTTTGCCTTTGGCGTGATCTCCAGTGATCACCGAAAGGACGACACACTTCCACTCCGCCGGGAAATGCTGGTCGTTGACGAGGGCCGCCGTTCTCTTGATGTTGTTGTCGTGTTGACACTCGAGAAGCTTAGGGTACTTGTTGACGTATGTGGTGTCCGTGAAAAATTTCCTGCTCTCGTTCCAAAGCTTGTCGTCGAGACCTCTGTCCTTTAACTCTTCGAACAGTTGCTTCTTAGACCTGAAGAACGTGGAGTTGGCATTCCACTCCCGCTTATCCATTTCCTCGTACTCGAACTCCACGTAGTGCCACAGCCTCATCATAATCCGGTCCATTTTTATTATGTCGACCATCTCCTTGACACTGAACTTCCCCTGCTCGACCAACTTCTTGCTACTCGTTTGAACCCACACGACGTTAAGGTTCAAGACGCCGTTCTACAGCCTTTTCTTCTCGCGGTCCGTCAAGTTTATGAATTCCTTCTGGCAGTGGACATTTGGCTCCGGAACTTGGACGTAGAAAATTTTCTCCTCCGCGCCTTTCTTTGGCTTCCCCCTTCCCTTTTTCAACGACGGGTCGTCCACCTTCACGTACCAGCCGTGTTTCTTCAGCCCCTGGCTGTCAGTCACAGTGGAGAGTCCTGGCTTGGCCACCTCCTCATGGGTGGGCGGCTTTTCAGTCCAACGCCAGCCGTCGGAAGCAAGGAGTTTCCCTTTCAACCACTCCTCATAGAACTTCAACCCCAAAGCAAAAACGTAGTCATCTGCCATGGCCAGCGGGAGGTAGTATCGAAGTTTCTCATCCCATTCCTTTCTTTTCTTTACTTCCGTTGACAGGTTCCAGATAGGCGTGTACGGCGTCTTCTTCATTGCCAACGCCATGAACCGCACCCACTTTCGCACCTCGTCCTGTTTCTTGGAGGCATTGCCGAGCACCACACGTGGTTTGCCCTTAACTTTCCAGATATTGCGAATGTCCCGCATAGACAAAACCTGCAAGCGCGGTGGATTCTTCTTGTCTTTCATGTTGTCTTCGCAGCTGACATGGGCGTAGCCGTCTAACTCGTCGTCAGGGAAGTAGATCGGTCTGAACGGCCATTTACAGAAGTTGTAGTAATCAAACACGGGATGGTCTTTCACCATCATCGCCGCACACACAGGATAATACTAGTATTTCTCTGGGTGTGAGCTGTCGAAGTCAGCAAGCAGCACGCGCACAGCAGGCTCGCCGTTCTCTCGAGGCGCAACGATCAGAGCGAGAACAAAAATGGGCTTCGTGTATCTCATGTCTTTGCATTCGTAGCAGTCGATCATAACCGACGCGATGGTATCAACGAGGAACTCGTCCAAGGATCGGTGGTTGTACGCGTCTTCCCAGTCTGGAATAACTAATATTCTTTCGGGATGAATGTGCAACACGACGTGCTTCGGCACCCCTGTCTGCATCTCGAGGAAGAACGCATTGTCGAGGTTAAAGGCGTTGAGGTTAATCTCCACGTCGTCATCCCCCTCCCCGCTGTCGCCCTCGTCTGCTTTCTTCCCCCTCGATGATTTCGACCGTTTCTTGGAAGACTCACCGGTTCTTCGCCGTGTCGACGAGTCTTTTGGCGTTTCATTCCCACCTCCAACCCTTTTCCTCTTCTCAACGGAACCGCCCTCTCGTGTTGTTGGCGTCCGAGCACTCCCTCCTGCCCTTCTCTGCCTTTTCAGAGCACCTACTCCCTCTCGCTCTTCCTCATCTGGCAAGTTGCGCTTGCCTCCCGACTGAGTCTTTTCAGCCGATCTCTCACGGAACAGCCTCTGCTCGGACACCTCCTCCTCACCGGCGACGTTCCCACTTGCTTCTCGTTCCTGGCTCAACTCCGTCTGCAGTTGTGCCGGCGCTGGTCGGGCCCGGCGAGTTGTCTCATTTGACCCACGCACCTCCCGAACCTGCGGACCACCCGCTCGATCTCCAGGCGAAACCTCGGCCACCTGCATGCCACGAACGAAGGAACCGATCCTTTCCACCAGACCACGAGGAGTCATCGATTCTGAGCCCTGTCGCAACCGTTCGCCATCGCCGCCTCCATATGGCGTCCACTCCCCAAGCAAACGGTGGTGGCGAGATACATGCAAGCCCGGTTTCAAAGGAGCACGTGGATGGTCGTCCTCCGAGTCGTTTGACATGCCCACCTCTTGATCAGGAGGCGTAGCTGGCAAGCCACCCTGACCTCCCATCCCCCCTTCAGAGCACTCTCCTCCCGCGAACCCAACACGACCACTGATCGATGTTCCAGGTCCGACGTCCACGGCACTAACAGAGGTACCAGATTTCTCCTAGACCTCGAGGAAGTCTGTGACGTGAACGGCCTCGTCGTGCCCTGGCGCTAGCGGGACAAAGTGAGGCAAAGACATCACACGACGGTCGTACCCGCCGAACATCCTCCCGGCAACCTTGCATCCCTTTGCGATGTCGTCGACAGAACCATCACTTCTGTAATGCTTCTTCAACGTAAACTTGAAATTGTATACGCCATCGTCGACCCACTGGACGATGGACCCTGCGAGACGCGTTCTGTCGGCGCGAACGGCGTCAAACAAGAGCGGCCCGCACGGTGGTTGCAAAGGGTCGGAGCCGTCCTGGCTCGCCCAGTCCAAATACCAGACACGTTTGCTGTAGTCGCACCACAAGTTTTGAGCACGTCGTTCTTCCTCCCCACCTCCAACTCCTCGACTCGTTTCCCTTGCCGGCGACGACGTCGTCCCTCGACGCTCCTCTCCATGCGGGGCGGAACCACCAGCGGAGCGGCCTCGTCCGTGTGAAGCCATTCCCTGAAACACACGGAGGAAATGAACCCACATTCACTCAGAACAGTCAGCACATCCCAACATCAACCACGACCCACACCACGTATTCTGTTATCGGTCACCCGGACTCCAAAAGAACGAAGTTCAGTCATAGTTAGGCGATAGTGGTCCACAAGCCTGCACGTTTCGGATGAATCCAAGGCATCGTGAGGCATCCTCGTCACACTGCCCTTAAGAGAATGAATGGTCGAAAACGAAGACCGCGGGATAGATCGGATACATCCGAAGCAGGCGCAGTCGAAAAACCGATGTCGCATAGGCACCTGCACCGGGAAAAGCAACACCTCGCAAGAAGGCCCTAAAGGCTGATACGGCAGACGAAGACGAATATGTTGTCATCCGAAGTTGACAAGTGGATTGTAAAGTCCGCCGTTGTAGTTCGGATGAATCCGAGCTCCAAAGCGGTGTGGACCAACCCCTTTCGGCCCATACGAAACCGAACTCGAGTTTTCTTGTCCTTCTGAGTCGGTAACGGTTGTGACTCGGATGCATCCGAATTCGAACAGCGCGATCCAGAGACGGTCATCCGCAAGAGGTCATCTACAGCACATGTTTTCGTCACTGGCCTGTGAACACTGGGTTAAACCTATCCTGCCGCAGGTTCGGTTCAGTTGAACCTTAACTTCGCAAATGTGGCTCGGATTAATCCGAGACAGGGACCGGCGGATGGACCCCACGGTCTATTGACGCCCATCCAGCCATCCAAGCTTCCGTTATTCCCCAACTGTCGTCGGGTCCAACCGAATTTCGCACGGTGTATCTTCGTCCTTGAGTGTTTAAGACGTGTGTGGCTCGGATTTATCCGATTTCAACACAGGCTGTCCCGATACGTGCGACCACGACGGGCTGCACGGACACCATGTGGTTTCGACGTACAAGTTTATCAGACCGTGCGACGTCGTCAATACCCTCTGCGCATGTAGTAAATCCGAAAATGCCACCGGTGTGGTTCGCATTGATCCGACTTCGCCGAGGCGCTTCGCTTTGTTGTCGCCCCACCACACACGGGACCTCCCCGCGATTGCCGTAGTATGTCATTATAATTTGTGCGTCATCACGGGGGATATCGTCGTCGTCGTGAGCTTTAGTTGGTTGTTCCTCGCCCAATCCAAACAACAGACACGTTTGTTGTAGTCGCAGCACAAGTTTCAAGCTCGTCTTTCTTCCACCGAGCGTAACCATCTCGACTCGTTTTAGTTGCGTGAATCCGAGGCATCGTTGACCCTCGTCATCAGACTGCTCTTCGTAAAGCAAATGGTCGAAGACGAAGACAGCGTGGTAGTTCAGACACATCCGAACTGGGCAGAGTCGAAAGACCGACGTTGTGACTTGGATGCATCCGAATTAGGCCGACCACAAGAGGAGGACATCGGCACGGCGTGTTTTCCTCAATGACCTGTGAGCAGAGGGTGGACCCTATCCTGTCGGAGGTGTGGTTCGGATTAATCCGAGACGGAACGGTCTTTTGACAGCGTGTGATTTCGTCGTTCACGTTTATCGGAACGTGAGGCGTCGTAAATATCGTCTGAGCATGTGACAAATCCAAATTTCCTGTTAGTGTGGTTCGGATTAATCCAAACTTCGCCGAGGTGCCTCGGTTAGTGGTCGCCCCGTGAGTTTTAGTGGGTTGTGGCTCGGATGCAACCGAAATTAACAAGGGTGGCTCGGATACGTTAGTTGTTGCGCCACCACAAGATGGTATGGACAGGGTGGGTTGTCGTCCTCCTGGTTGGTCAAACATGTCGCCGTCGACAATACCCTATGAGCATCTGATCGCTCCGTGTCCTGTCCTGTGTCCAAGTCAGCGGAAGGGTTCCTCGCGGCGTTCGGCTGACGCGAGGTTTGATAGGGTTTAAAAATTTGAATTCGCGTTCGCCTCCTGTGTCTTCGAATCTGTCGTAGCAGTCTTCGGATTACTGATCTGTGATTGCACTTAGGGGGGGACCAACCTGAGATCGGTTGAGCGACTGTCTGCGATAGACAAAGATTGGAGAAAGGCAGAAAACCCGCATAGACACGGAAGGGAGACTAAGATCGATAGAGACGTCGACAAGGAGAGGATGCGCAGCGAGAGAGCCAGTCTTTAGCTCTCTGTCTCTCCATGTGCAGATCTTTTGGATGGTGTTGTCCATTTCAGAATTCGCAATGTGACCCGTTAATAAAACGACACAAAAGAAATATAAGAAAAAATTGTTCGTGTCGGCGAGAGGAAGATTGGCAAAAAATGTGAAAAATTCGACGAATGTGGAGGACATTTTACGGATACAGAACCGAATGCCGAGCGAACTGCACGACGCGACTTACGAGGGAAACGAATAAACAAACCGAGCGAAATAAAAATTAATTTGGCGTGAAGAAACTCCATGTGCAGTCCAGAAGAGACACGATTCGTGAGAAACCATGTTCTCGTGTTCGACAACATACGACTGAAATCCTTATATCGCAGTTCGTGAGAGAGACAACATATTGACGACAAGCGAGTAACACTTCAAGAAAACATCTGAAGTGACGACACAATCTCGAAGGGCGTGTCGCAACATTCTCGGGCTGCATTCGCAGGTCTCGTTTCGTTGGTGACCACTCGCCCCGATCAGATGGCACACTCACATGTCCACGTGACAACTCCTGAACATGCGTGGCGACGATCAGATAGAGCCCCGCATCCATCAGCGTGGCCACACTTGTTCAAGACGTGACACGTGGACGTCTGAGTGTGCCATCTGATCGGTGCGAGTGATCGCCAATGAAACATATGCATTCTTGCTCCCGAAACTCCTTCATCTCGCCCCGATCAGATGGCACACTCACACGTCCACATGTCATGTCCTGAACATGCGTGGCCACGCTGATGGGTGCGGGGCTATATTGTAGCCTCGCATCCATTCTGCTGCCGAATAGAGCCCCGTTGTCGCATAGAGCCCTGCATCCATCAGCGTGGCCACGCTTGTTCAGGACGTGACACGTGGACGTCTGAGTGTGCCATCTGATCGGTGCGAGTGATCGCCAATGAAACGCATGCATTCTTGCTCCCGAAACTCCTTTATCTCGCCCTGATCAGATGGCACACTCACACGTCCGCATGTCATGTCTTGAACACGCGTGGCCACGCTGATGGGTGCGGGGCTATATTGGAGTCTGGCATCCATTCTGCTGCCGCATAGAGCCTCGCGTCCATCAGCGTGCACACGCTTGTTCAGGAACAGACACGTGGACGTTGACTGTGCCATTTGATCGGGGCGAGTGGTCGCCAATGGAACGAGATCCGCAAACGCACCCCGAGGTAAGTTCGTGAAAGAAACAGGCCAACGCATAAGACGAACTAAATAGAGGCACTGAAGACAAACTAACGACGGGGACGAAGATGGTAGTTAAACACGACAGCACACATGTCCACGTGTCAAGTCCTGATCATGCGTGGCCACGCTGATGGGTGCGGGGCTCTATTCGACAACATTCTCTTGCCGCATAGAGCCCCGCATCCATCAGCGAGCCCACGCTTGTTCAGGAGCTGCCACGTGGACGTGTGAGTGTGCCATCTGATCGGGGCGAGTGGTCGCCAATGGAACTAGATTCACGACATAGAGGCACTTATAAAAAACTGACGACGTGGTGGAACACGACGCTATTGGTTCTGTCTCGTTCATTTGTCTGCGCTTGTCAGTTACGTTCGCATTACTTTGTGCGAACGATACAAACAAGCGTAGTGAAACGAACGAGATAAAAGACAGAAAGAGAGATGAAGAGATAGCGAGAGAGAGAGAGAGCGACAGAGAGGCGATCTCTGCCTTCATCACACGGCCCAATCAAACGTCACGATCAAATAGCCCCGAACGTCATAGACTCCCTATCACACATCGGACTTACGGACATAAATCCCTGTTGGATCACACGACACTGCTCGTTCGCACCGACTGAACCCAATGTAATCGCCACCGCGCGAATCCCGACTACAGATCGCATACATGTGTGGGCATTCTGACGGTCTACGCAAACCCAGCATGGCAGGACTTTTCAGGTCGG